CAGAAACAAGAATAGACAAAATTTTCATTATTTGAGGTGCTTTTGTTTTACTTCATTTTTGTCCCTTAAGGGTTTACTCCTCTTTCTCTCACATAATATTTTACAGTTATGTACAAATGGCCAATTATTTAAATTAGCTGATGATATCAAATGTCTCCAAGCAACTTTAGAGTACTCTGCTGCCACTATCCTTACTGAGGAATTGGTAACAGTGGTTGTTTAGTCATACCAATTAGCCATAACATGTTAAGTGGAACTAAATCGCATAATAGTTAATTAATGGAAACAAGGTAATATAAAAAAATACATAATACATAATTCTGCTTTTCTTCTATTGAGACAAATTGTCTTGTTGAATTTAATTATTCGTATTACTTTTTTGAAGGCTTGACTGATTTTATGGCTGATGGCAGATAATCTTTGCAGTCATAAATTACTGCTTTATTTTTCGTATTTTCACTATTTTATCAATTTGCACCTTGATTGTGAGAGAATAGTGCAATGCTCTGTAAGTATAAGTAAACGACCTGAGAAAAAGTTTATTTTAACAATTTAACGGTATAGACAAAAGTTTGGAATATGATTGGTTTGTTTTTATCGTTTTTTCCATAACACGAATCATGTAGCTTTAAATTTGGAAGTCTTATTGCTATGTAAAGATTTCTAAATCTTTCCATGTTATTGGCTAATTGTGATTTGGTAAATCAACCATATAATGTATACAAAGAAGAAACTTGGTTTGAGTGCCATCTAAACTTTAACCACTTTTTACCAGTAAAATTGTTTGAGTTAAAAGTACATAATATTATATGAAAAAAATGCAATTATATTTATATTCAGGTAGTCAGCTGACCTCATTCTTGGAGCACATCCTGTTGCTGAACCTAGACCTGACCACTGCAGCAACCCCAGATCATAACACTGCCACCACAGGCTTATACAGTAGGCACTAGGCATGATGGGTGCATCACTTCATCTGCCTCACTTCTTACCCTGATGCACCAATAACTCTGGAACAGGGTCCATCTGGATTTATCAGACCACATGCTCCAGAGTCCAATTCAAATAAAGCTAATAAAGCCTCTTTTTCCGGTTTGCCTCACTGATTAGTGATTTTCTTGCACAGCTGTTTGGTCCCAATCCCTTAAGTTCACTTTGTATTGTGCATGTGGAAATGCTCTTACTGTCGCTAATAAACACAGCCCATAGTTCTATTGTTGATTTTCTTTTATTTGCTTTCACCAAAAGTTTAGGCAGTCACCAGTCGCGATTATTCAGGAGTTTTTTTTCTGGCCATATTTGTTCCTCACAGCCGATGTGTCTCCACTCTCTTTTCAGTTTTTAATAATGTGTACGACAGTTCTTAACCCAATTTTAGTCAGTTCTGTGATCTCTTTAGTTGTTATCTCTGCTTGATATATGCCAGCAATGTGACCCTTCTCAAACAGACTAACATCTTTTCCACGACCACCAGATGTGTCTTTTCACATGGTTGTTTTGAACTGAGAAGCAACTCATTGCACCAGTTGGGGTTAAAAAACGTGTTGCCAGCTGAAAGATAATCATCAATGCAGTCATTATCCAATAGGAGGCTCCTACCTATTTGCATAGTTGAATACAGGAGGCAACTTTTTTGGGGGGCCAGGCAGTGTACGAAGACTTTTTTTTTTTACCTTGAGTCAGGACTATCACATTTTTTAACATGTTTGTAAGGTTTATGCCTTAGTGTCAAGAAAATAGTTGTCTTTCCATGCTGTCGTTCTTTTCAATTTTTATTTTTTTTAAATACAGTTTCGTTACCTGTTTTTTCGCTACGTTTCGTCTGCGGCTGCAGACTTCCTCAGGCTGACGCTGATGGTGGCGCGTCACTTCCTTCTTCGTTTATCCACGGGCAGCAGAGGACGTTGTCGCCCTCTGCTGCCCGCTCTCCCCTCTCCGACGATGCAGTCCCATGTGCGGTCCAACGTGTAAACTCCATCGTCCCTGTTCATGGTCCCACCTCCACGTCTCCTTATCTCGATTGCTTCATTTATCCATCTTTTGTATTTTTGTTGTTTGGTGTTTATGATCCTTGTGTTGTCCCAGTCCATTATATGGTTTTCTCTTGTGCAGTGATCTGTTACGGCTGACTTTTTTATTGTACTTTCTGCTTCTTCTTTTGCTGCTCTTGTGTGTTTTCGATTTGCCTTTCTCGCACTCCTTTCTGTGTTCTATTGTTCGTGTGTTGAGTTGGCATCCGGTTTCTCCTATGTATGTTTTATTGCAGAGTTTACATAGGATTTCGTAAACGACTCCACATTTAAGTCCAGCTGGTATCTTGTCTTTTGGGTGCACTAGCCTGTTTCTAACTGTTGTGTATGGTTTTGTTGGTGTGTTTATGTTGTGTTTTTTCATTGTTGCTCTTATTCTTTCTGTTATGCCTTTGATGTATGGTAGGGTTATCACTGGTTTTGGTTCTTGTCTTTCTGGGTTTCTGGTTCTTTGCTTAGGTTGTTCTTTTCTTTCTGTTTTTGTTTGTTGTTTTCCTTTGTTTATTGCCCATGTCGGGTATCCGCAGGTCTTTAAAGCGTGTTGTATGTGTTTGTCCTCTTGTTTACGGTCTCTCTCTTCTGTTATCATGTTTGCTCGGTGATATAATGTTCTGATTACTGACATTTTGTGTATGGTGGGGTGTTCTGATGTCCATAATAGATATTGGTCTGTGTGTGTTGGTTTCCTGTATGTGTTTATGTTTAGGGTCCCGTCGGTCTGCCTGGTGATTTTCATGTCCATAAAAGCTATGCTGCCTTCTGTTTCTGTCTCATAAGTGAAGTTTATGTTGCCCGTGTCGTCAATGTTATTCAAGTGTTGTGTTAGTGTTTCTGTTTGACCTTTTGGTATGATTTCCAGTATGTCGTCTACATAGCGTGTCCATAGTTTTATTTTGCAGTTTGGGGGGGCAGTGGCTATGGCTTTTTGCTCTAGGTCTTCCATGAAAAACTCACACAGGGTGGCTGATAACGGGTTACCCATGGTGAAGCCTTCCAGTTGTTTGTATATTGTGTTGTCGTAGGTGAAGTAAGTGGAGTTAGCTACCAGTCCTATCAGTTGTGCTATGTCATCTGCTGTGAGGTTTGTTCTTTTGTGTAAAGTCTTGCCCTGTCTGATTCTGTTAACTACTATGTCTATGTTTTTTGGGTTGGTGTTTTTGTGAACAGAGATGTGACGTTGTCACGATCTGCCCCTGCCTTCCTGACTGTGTCTCTCTCCTGCCTTGATTAGCCCTTCGCACACACACACACACACACACACAGCCGGAAGCGCAGAATACGGAATGCAGAATATCAGCAGGGGGACAGATTGAGACAGAATGTCATGCGTCTGTGACAGTGAGTGTCCTGTCACTGTGACCCGATTGATCATGTGCCCTGGCTACTTAGACAAGGGAGATCTCCGTTTGGGTGACTGGTTAACGCGCGTGACTTGCACCTGGGAGTTTGGGGATTGAATCCCAATTGGACCATTTTTTTTAATTTCCGCCACAGATCTCTCTTAAGAATTCACAACATTGACGGCTTCAGCAACGCTGTGCCACTCCGTGGATTTTCTCTTATTTGTTTTGCAAAAGCACTTCCTTTCATTTCTGCACCTCTGCTTCTGTGAAATTGCGCTTCCTTGACCTGCCTTGATCTACGGTCGCCATTGTCTTTTGCAGAGTGCTGCAACAGCCGGCTTATGTATATGCATGAGATCCACAAGGCACTTTGGCACATGGCGGTATGGTGAGGGCGGGATGTGACTAAAAAGCAGCTGAGAACCTTTCTAGATGGTTTCTGATTTATGAAGCGGAGATTGCGTGCAGCTGTGTGTACTCCATGTTTGATAGATCACAAACCTACTTGGCGTAAGTACATTTTTTTGCTGAGCTTAAGTACGGTTTTAGTAAGGATTCTACACAATGTTGATAAATGAGACCCCTGAACAGATTCAGTCACAAAGAGAAGAACCTTGCCTGTCATAGAACTCAGAGATCCAATGGACATCTGCAGGCCTACTTTAGTATTGATCAAACTGAAACTTGCACAGCAGACGAAAAGCAGAACACTGATAAGGTTCAAGTCAGGCAGGTGGTTCCTCACTGTGATGCCAGTGATGTCAGCAAAATCCCAAAGCTAGTTTTGTTGCAATCCAGTACTCATCCTATGGCCACCAATCACCACTACCAAGGTTCCCACCTGTGTTTGCAACCAGATCCACATACCATCTCATACCACCTCAAAAGCAGTGCTCCTTTACGTCTTCTGGCATGATTTACTTGTACTCTGTTTTCTTCTCCATGAAAGGTCTTTTGAATCCCTCTTTTTCATGCCCTTCACCCAGGACTAATTTGACAAAGTGCCCTGAACAGAATAGCTCATAAAATCATTAGTATATAGTGGCAGTTCAAGGAGGAGTTGTAGTTCAAGGAGGAGGTATATTGGTGACTCTAAATTGATCCTAGGCATTAGTGCGCATGCACATGGTTGTTTGTCTCTATTTGTGCCGACGTGATGGACTGGTGACAGGTTCAGGGTGTGACTTCTGGAGATGAACATCAGCTCACTGTGACCCTGAAAAGCATCAACTGAAAAAAGAAAATGGATAACAATGAAATCCTGGACATAAAGAACTAACATGGATGCACATATAAAACCTCAACAAGTCACACAAAGTGTCTCCACCCTTCTGTCACTGAATTCTCATCTGCCGAACCGTGGAACATTATGTAACACATGACATTCACAACAAGGTCCATCCCCGTCTACCTATCTGCTACTTTCTCTTCTGAGTTTTACCAGCAAAACTCTCCTCCTTCCTCCTGTTTTTCTTTCTTTGTTCAATCTGACTCACTGACATTTAATTAGTTGGCGAATGGAGGATGCCTTGACACATCGGCACTGTGGAGCAGCTGACCTTTTCTTTCTGGGTCACTCATCTGCCATTAGAACGCTTCTCTACCACCAGTACTCACTTATACACCCTCATTGCGCGTTCAGATGGGCCAGTGTCATGTTGAAATGGGCCACCTGGTGATCTGGCAATTGACAGAAAGGTAGAGATCTTTAATGCAAGCACGAGTGAAAGGACGTGTTTGATGGGATGCAATACAGCTGAGGCCCGTGCATATGGCTTCATATGCTGAGAGAACTTGCTTTCCACTGATTGCATCAGCTTTATAGGCTGACTAAAGAAGAGACTAACAACAGCTATCCTCTTTCATCTGTGGTCAGACCCCCCCCCCCCCCCCACACACACACACACACACACTCACACAAATACACACACACATAAATGCACCTGCATGTGAAAGCAAAGCTAATCAAATAGTTCCAGTTTTCCAAACCCCCATAACCTTCCTACACCTGCAAAGACATAACTCCCAGCAACATTAGCTCCCAGACGCCTTCTATCAGAATCAGTTTAGGGGTCTTTTAGTCTACCTTCTAAAGAAGTCTCTTCTGTCAAAGAAGGGAAACGTGACCCTAATACATGAAAGAAAGCTAGAAAGAAAGAGGCTGTGGTGAAGGAATCAAGCACGAGGACCTGACAGAGTAAGCTACCCAACTGGTCCTGAATGGCTGTGCTGGGCTGAAGTCCAGTTTGTTTTCCACTCTTTTATCAGGGCCGAGGATTTGGTAAGTATCCTCTACCTAGAAGACTCAAAGCAAAGCTTTGTCATCCAGGGTGGGAATGGTTTAAAGCTGGCACACCAAATTTAGAAAACCAGTTCGATTTAAAAAATGTTTAATGCCTCTCATCAATTTTCTAACATATTATAACTATAAATATAATGTGGAGACTGAAAAAATAAAACAGAAAAAATATTAAAGTGGTCCTTTCTCGCACGTTTCAGATCAAAAGTAATGATTGGACCGATTGGCGGTCTTGCCGAACTGCAGCACTTCCACACTTCTCTGGTTCCTCCACTCATTGTGCATTCACGTATTAGCTACAGAACACCACTGGTGTGAGAGGTTCTCCACTCATTAATAACAGAGGAGGAGAAACAGCCGGCTGCTACCACTTAAGCTTTACGACAAACTACCACAGCCTTAAAAAGAAAAACACCATTTGAAGTCACAGATAGCTGAAAAGAAGTTTGGACCTAGAAAACGGCGACTAGTGTCATAGCACTATCTTGTGTCCCTGTCATAGCAAGTTTCCAGTTCCTGCAGAAGCATCTCAGGGAAGATACCCGGACATGCAGCAATCTACATGCAGGAAGTCTGTGACTGATGCAGCCTCAAGCTGTCATGAACCCTGCTTTGACTCATCTCTAGGCCTGGGACTCATACATCAGACTGATCTATCTGGATTATAATTCAGCATCCAATCCCATCATCTCTCAGGCCCCAGCCACTAAACTGTTATTGACCCTGTACACAATAGCAAATGCTAGTTCCAGTTGATGTGCTCCAGAGAGCTGTGGTACTTCCTGTCCCCTTCACAGTGATGTAAACATGGACAGCGCATGCAGTGAACTGTACTATTCCAGATGCCTTGGGATTCTGCTGAAAATTTCAGTCAATGAAATCTTCATTGTATTGTCAACACATTTTCATCTGCTCTACAAAGAAAACAAGTGAAGAGATTGAAGATGTACATATGTGTGTACATATAAGTTGTACAAGGTGCACAGTATGTGCACAACTATGAAGCTGAGTACACAATGCAGCTGTGCTATCTAGTGCAAACTTGACTATAAGGGGCATGACAAACACATTGTATTATTATTAAATGGTAACTACAGGGCATTTTGCTACCTGGACCTTATTTCTACAATGCAATACATGCATTGCAATGCATTTACTCACCCAGAGAATATTGGTGCTATTTGGAGTCTGAGAAATATCCATCTTCGATTGGCGTTTATCCATAATGGGAGTTATTGTGGCAGCAGTGAAGTCATTATCTGCCACTAAAGTCCTTAATTTCGTCAATGATTTGCCATGAATCATTAGCACTATTCCCCTGTTAGTTGGGAGTGTCTCTGACTTGCTTTGCTATTATTGTCCAGGTTCTTTTACAGATGTTTGGTGATCACGCAAGACCGTGGCTGGAGCCGATCACAGAGAGGATGCTCACAAGAGGGGTGCTTGTTAAACAGGACAAACAGCTGGAGCTGATGGCGAGAAAGAAATAAGTCTTATGTACACAACTTACATCTTAACCTTAAATACAAGGCAAACTGTACATGTTTATAATATTCTGACATAAATGGATGACACTTATGTAACTGCTTGAGTAGAAACTGTTTTCTAGCAGCTATACTGCTTGATGTGGAATAGGTTCACACACACACACACACACACACACACACACACACACACACACACACACACACACACACACACACACACACACACACACACACGTGTCTGTCTTTTTATCATAGTGAGGACCCTCCATTGACTTCCACTGATTTTTGCGACTCCACTAAGCCTAACCCATAGCCTAACCATAACCATTGCTGATCTGTTCCTAACCCTAACCTTAACTAAAACCTAATTCACACCATACCTATAAAACCAACTGGTAAGCTTCTAAAAAAGTGAGGACCAAAAAAATTTCCTCCCTTTGAAAAATTTCCTCACTTTGTAGGGAAAATGGTGCTCAGTAGGTAGTACAAGAACACACACACACACACACACACACACACACACACACACACAGACATGCCAATCAAAGCAAAATTTTACAATTACATATCTCTGTTGATCCTCTCATTTATCACGTATTTTCATTAGCATGTTACTAGCCGGAAAACACTAGCATATACTACTGGTCGGAACCTGGAAATTTGCATTTTTTGTGCACAGGGTCAACTGTAATGTCCTAAGTCTCCTTCTACACCCATCACTCCCTTTGCTCTGCAAGCTATTCTGGCACAATATTGTGAAGTTTGCAGAAGGCACTGCTGTTGTTAATCTGGTTTTCAACTAAGCACATATCCACAGGAGGAAGTTAAAGGAGCTTGCTGGCCGGTAGAAGGCAAACAATAAGCATCATTGTGGCAAAAACAAACAAAAGGTCAGGCCTAATTTTTTGAGGAACCCATGGAGCTAAATACTTGCATGAGTCACATCCAAAGCAAACACACTTGCTCTGTTTTATGAGGAGGCTGAAAATGCAGCTCTCAGTGCTGCTGTGGTAACTTCGT